GGAGGGTCAGTGCTGAGGGAGCGCCGCACTGTCGGAGGGTCAGTGCTGAGGGAGCGCCGCACTGTCGGAGGGTCAGTGCTGAGGGAGCACCGCACTGTCGGAGGGTCAGTGCTGAGGGAGCGGGCACTGTCGGAGGGTCAGTGCTGGGGGATTGCCGCACTGTCGGAGGGTCAGTGCTGAGGGAGTGCCGCACTGTCAGAGGGTCAGTGATTCTGCTGGTTTTAGATCCTTGTTCTTCTAATCTCATCCTCAGTGGAAGGAGATCAAACTGATGGTAGGATTACCCTGAACCTGCCTGATCACTTTTAGTGAGCCTGAGGCTAAGGCATGAAGAAGTTGGTTACAATTCTTATCTTTGCTATGTGCTATTCGAGACTAAAGACAGTCAGAGCTCAGGAACCATGAGAACCCCAGCTTCTCACCTGCGCTGTTGAATCCACATCCCAGGTAGTAGCCTCGGAGTTCAGGAGCCTCTCCCATCAGGGGCTTGTGGTCAGCAGTGAATGACTCTACAAAACAGGCATCATTACTGTTGGACTCTCTCTCCCCCTCACCGCAAGAGACTTTTTAAAGCATAGAGGAACCGCTCCAGAGACAATTTTAAGGACCTATCCCCTTATCAGGGATAACAAGTCTCCCTGAACAAGAATACAGCTCCACCAGCTGTCGCTCAGCACAATCTCAGTCAGAGTTGTGTCAGGGATTGTTCCCATCCATCACCACAAATCCAGGCCCAGTCTCCTCATCAGAGATGGAGCTGCTCCAGGAGTGAACCATCTCCTCCACTCCACTGTGCACTGTGGCAGAACCAACATTAAATTCAGCAACACCCGTGCCCAGACCTTCCTTACACATAAAGGAGACATAGCCCACATCAAACTGGACCAGCTGCTACCCACTTGTAAATGGAGCTGTTTGATCATACTGTCTGGGTAGATCCCAGGCTCCAAGTCTGGTCTGTGTCGGCTGAGGTTGTGGGTAGGAATGTTAGAACTCAAGCAGCAAGGACTGAAGGTCAGAGAGACGATTACTGCTGAGCTGAGCCTGGGACAGGAGGAGGAACAAGCAGCAATCCTGGCACACTGCATTGGGCATGAGCTCCTCTGTACCTGGGCCACACACGGTTGACTTCACCCCCGTGGTCTCCAGAGCAGGGATACGGTTCACAGCTCCTTCAATCAACTGTGTGAAAACATCCCAATCCAGGTCAAAAAGGCTGAAGGCAAATTTATCTGACACCTAAAAAAGAGACATCACAATCAAAGTACAGATAGATGGATCCAAAGCAACAAGGTCACTGCTCCTACAGCCAATGTCCACTCTCTCTGTTTATGGGTCAACATTGGACACAGGATTTGCAGCATTCAGCCCACCTGCTCCTGGCCAGGATTTATGCTCCATGTGTGCACCCACATACACCCCTTCATCTCACACTGTCACAATGTCTTTTTATTCTGATCATATAAGGAGAATCTCTCTCCCACAGCAAGTGGTTAGGGTCTGAAACGTACTGTCTGAGAGCGTGGGGGGAGGCAGGTTCACTCAAGTGGTTAGGGACTGGAACGTACTAAGAACAAGAACAAAGAACGAAGAAAATTACAGCACAGGAACAGGCCCTTCGGCCCTCCAAGCCTGCGCCGATCCAGATCCTCTATCTAAACCTGTCGCCTATTTTCCAAGGATCTGTATCCCTCTGCTCCCTGCCCATTCATGTATCTGTCTAGATACATCTTAATTGACGCTATCATGCCCGCCTCTACCACCTCCGCTGGCAACGCGTTCCAGGCACCCACCACCCTCTGCATAAAGAACTTTCCACGCATATCTCCCTTAAACTTTTCCCCTCTCACCTTGAAATCGTGACCCCTAGTAATTGAGTCCCCCACTCTGGGAAAAAGCTTCTTGCTATCCACCCTGTCTATACCTCTCATGATTTTGTAGACCTCAATCAGGTCCCCCCTCAACCTCCGTCTTTCTAATGTAAATAATCCTAATCTACTCAACCTCTCTCCATAGCTAGCGCCCTCCATACCAGGCAACATCCTGGTGAACCTCCTCTGCACCCTCTCCAAAGCATCCACATTCTTTTTGGTAATGTGGTGACCAGAACTGTACGCAGTATTCCAAATGTGGTCGAACCAAAGTCCTACACAACTGTAACATGACCTGCCAACTCTTGTACTCAGTACCCCGTCTGATGAATGAGAGCATGCCATATTCCTTCTTGACCACTCTATCCACCTGCGTTGCCACCTTCAGGGTACAATGGACCTGAACACCCAGATCTCTCTGTGCATCTGCACTGTCTGACAGTTTGGGGGGAGACAGGTTCACACGAGTGGTTAGGGTCTGGAACGTACTGTCTGAGAGTGTGGGGGAGACAGGTTCACTTGAAGCATTCAAAGGGGAATGAGAGTGTGAACTGAGGGGAAAAATTCACAGAATTACTGAAGGAGGTAATACTTAGGCATAAAGTGGAATGCTTATTTGGTGAGCTAGTATAGACATGATGAACTGAATGGCTTCCTTCTGCATAGCAGTTCCGTATGTCTCTTTGTGATCTGTGCTTATCCAACTTTTCCCAAAATGCATCAACTTTATTTGTTCTAACTGTTCCACATAGGAGCACGTCCTCCTGAGTACGGATAAAGATATTTCTTCTGAAGTCCTGATTGGATTAATGACAGTATTTACATCAATTCACAACAATGACAGTATTGATTATCCCTTGTTCTGGTTTTCCTAACAAGTGGAAATGTCTTCTCCAGATCTATCCTTTTATATCCCTCCATAATTTTAAAGACCATTATCAAGTCACACTTCAGTATCCCAGAGACAGGAAGCTTTTTCATTATTTAGAATCTCTCAGTTCCAGCATCAACTTTGCAAATTTTATTTTTTGTGGCATTTTCTTGCTTATTCTATAATGTTACTAAAATGCAGAGACCAGAGCTGCGCACCGTGTTCCAGGTGTGGTCTAACCGAGGTACTACACAACGGAAACAAAACTCTGCTTTTCAATTCCATCAGCTTAGAAATGTTATTTACTTATTTATGAAGATATTAATTTCCATATTCATCAAAATGGTCTAGTGGTATTATCACTGGACTGATAATCTAGAGACCCAGATAACATTCTGGGGACCCAGGTTCGAATCCTGCCACGGCAGATGGTGAAATTTGAATTCAATAAATATCTGGAATTAGGAATCTAATGATGACCATGAATCCATTGCTGATGGTTGGAAAAACCCAACTGGTTCACTAATGCCCTTTAGGGAAGGAAACTGCCAGTCTGGCCTACATGTGACTCCAGACCCACAGCAATGTGGTTGACTCTTAACTGACCTCTGGGCAATAAATGCTGCCCCTATCCTGTAAATGAATAAAAACAAAATATCTAACCCTAGGATGTTTTTTACATTGTGAAATAATGCTTTCCTGTATTTAATCACAGTCTCTCAAGATTGCTCCATTTGTTGCAGCCACGAGTTTTGGAAACTATCTTCTGATTCCTGAGACAAACTGTTTATTTAAATTCTTAAAAAATGCATTAGATTAGAAAGATTAGATCCAGGGGTGAGGGGGTTTCCATTTCTCACTGATTTGTTTCTGCTCTGAGCTGCTTGTCTTAGCTCTTACATTGTTTTCTGCACTACAGACTCAGGCCTCTCCATTCTGCTCCTAATCGCACCCCCATGTCCATACACTCCAACACGTCTCTGCTCCCACGGCCCTCACACAATAACGAACACTACAAAAGACTACCCCCGTGACTGTGTCCACTGTGGTCCCACTCTCCCAATCCGAATCTGTCTCTTTCTACCTCACCTCTTCCCAGAAGTTTGGGTTTGGTTCATATCCACCAACAGACAGGGCGTCCCCTTGGAGGCGGAGATACACAGAGCTGTCATGATCCCGAACATTTGGCATATTCTGCAAGCAAAAGTAAAACCGAGAAAGGTGCTTGAGACGTGAATTCCCATGAAGTAAAACTCCCACTACACAGTCAACTACTCCCAGAACAGGGACAGTACGGGGTTAAATACAAAGTAAAACCCCTTTACACTGTCCCGCATCAAACTATATTGAACACAAATGCTCTGTATCTAACCCCGTGCTGTCCCTGTTGGCAGTGTTTGATGGGGACAGTGTAGGGAGAGAGTTTCTCTGTATCTAACCCCGTGCTGTCCCTGTTGGGGGTG